AAAAAATTCCAAATCTCACAAACTAATTAACGAAGAAGATGTTCTTACCCTTTGAACCATTTCAGTGCAGCAAACAATACCATCAGGCAACATTTAAACTCCATCACATCCACCAGTAACACCTATATTTAGACGCATAAGAAGTCAGACAATTATGATAATTTTGAGGACAAGACAAAGTAACAATGAGTTGTTAGATGAACATAGAAATGTAACTTGAGAAAAATGCCCACTTTCATAACACATTTTCTACAAATGTTTAATATATCACTTTTTGATACTATCAATATCTAATTAAAAACATAAATATTGTAAAATACAAATAATATTATAGAAAACGGTATATTTAGCTACCTGTCATAATGAAGAATTAAGCTGATGGAGTGATGGTATAAATAAAGTGTCAAGAATTCTTAGAATATTATCGAGCCTGATTAGAAATAAGAAATTCAATTTATTTCTATGTGTTGCAGACGTACTGGTTACTTACAATATGTGCCATTAACTAGTGTAATGAAAAAAACTGTGAAGAAGGTGTCGATGCAATGAGAGTAACTATTATGTGTTGTTAAGACCAATACCAAGTTCAGAACAGATATGGATACCCAATAAAAAATATAACTTGTGTTGAGGTTTCAAGCGTGGCAACTAAGTTGCTCATTTGACCCATGATTTGTATCTCCAAAAGAGTGAGACAACTTGAGTGATAATACAAAAGTAAAGCTACAATTCCATCTACTCCCTCCGTCTAAAAAATAAGTGTAGCTGATTTAGTACAAAGTTATACTAACTTGGTACTATAAATCTGCGACACTTTTAGGGACAAGTACTAACTAGGGTTTAGTTGATAGTACTTGCTAGTGAAAACTTGCGAAACACAATACAAGTGTTAGAGCAAAAATGTACAAAGCATGCATTACTTGGATTGGATCACTACAAAAGCATTAAGACAAAAGATGAGCAATCACCTGGTGTATATAAACTCGTGAAAGGATGGCATTCATCCATACGACGGGTTTCATAAAGTTTTCTAGATTGCATTGACTTAAGTTCAACTTTGTAGACACCTCCGTCCGCATATATACAAACATAACATCATTATCCTCACCATACCACACTATCTTCATGTATACCATCGCTCCCTCAATCCAAGGAGCGAGTCTAAGAATATTATGCATTTCAGCGGTCTTCTGGAGTAACCATGTGGCAACACCATGGCAATTAACCTTCCTCTGCCATGTGTGAAATCCATCATACGAAAATGTGGCGAGACCAAGATCACCATCCTCTGCTCTGATGATCTGGTGCGTGGGGGAATGAGAATAACGCAGATCGGGAGGTCCATTAATCATAGCTAGAGTTTGCCTATCCAGATCAAACTCAACTATGTCCTTTGTGAGACTAGCCAAACCCGGCACCTGTAGGTTCTATCTCACGTGTCAGTAAAGACACCCGCCAATAAGGATCCCATGGTTATCTTCACTATAAATGTTACATTGAGCCGTTGATGTAATAAGATTGCCCCATGTGCCAGTCTTCAAGGAGTAAACACATGCGACGGGTCGATAATCCTCCGTATGCATGGCCATCAAGACCACCTTGAAGGGGTTCAAGTGGCGTCGGCTCTCATGCACGTGGTCATGGCTGACGCCAGCGCGGAACACCGCCCCGTTGAGCACGTCCATATGGAACTCCGGTGGAACGGCAATGCGGTGTTGTTCACCCGCGATGGTGTCGCACACAACGATCTCTCTCGGCTCAAATTGTACGAGGAGGACGAGGCCGTGGCGGCACCCGACCGGATAGACATCGGGGTGACTGTTGTAACGTCCAAGGGAGAAGCGCTCTGGTGGGACGCAATCGGGAGGGTCGAGGATGGGGGTGAACGCGATCTCGTCGTTTCGGCGATGGAATACGCCGAGGAGGGGCGGCTTGCTGCTCCGGTGATGGACGCGGAAGCGGCGGATGAACTTGGGGTCGGTGGCGACGGATCGCCAGAGCCTGCAGACGGCGGAGGCGCGCGGGAGCGAGGAGGGATCCGGCAGGAGGCGGAGGAGGTACTCCCGGAGCAGGTCCTCTTCGTCCGGCGGGGAGGCCGACGAGGTGCCGCGGCGGCGGGTCGTTTCCGTGTCCTCTTCGCTCATGTCGATTCAAGAATGGAGGCGCTGACGAGAAGTGCAGGCAGGACTTGGAAGACGTAATATTGGGCCTTGGCGATAGAGTTGCTTCTTAGGCGGGCTTGAGTGGGAATGGAGCTAGACTGGACATTTTAATATTTGTGTTGGGCCCAGCCCAAGTCATATCGAGCCCATAAAGAGTGGTTGGCTTCAGCCTGCATGCTGCGAGAGTGAAAAGTTGCGTGTACAGTATCACCTCATGCGACCAAGACCCACAAAAAAAAAACTCATGCGACCAAGATCAGTACAATGTTTTGAACTGAGAGTTACTCTTTGGAGTACAATGTTCATGTTGGAGTATATCATTTCTTTCCTTTCCAAATACTCCAAAGAGAATTAGTCAAACGCCCAGACGAGGGGAATAGAGTTCTTGGTAGTGATCTAAACGCTCTTACATTTTTTTACATAGAGAGTAGTAACTTAGTGCCTCTGTGACAGTGGCCTGAACTTTATTGAGGAGAATGTCAGTTCTGCTAGCTAAGGGTGAGGCGAATCAAACTGAACAATAGAAGTTGTAGGCAAAAAAGAAAAAAAGAAAAAAAGAAGTGAACATTGTCTTTCAAATGGCCGCATCTTCTATAATAAAACTGCGATAGACAATCTTAGTAGTGCAAACATCCTTGTAGGAGTTGTTTAAAAAAAACACCCTTGTAGGAGTGTGCTTCCAAGTAAAGATATGTCTTGGGGAAGCTCAGCTACTTCCCACGCTTCGATATTAAAATGCATCTTGTCACATTACAAACTTACTTAACGAAGGCGCATGTTCAGCAAGTTCTTCCACATAACACAAATACACACTGCCGACCACATTGATGGAACGCGACAAAAAACGCTAGGGACTAGGGACAACAGCAACCCTTGACTACTTCACCTGCAGAAAAAAAAATTGCTAGTCCGTTAGTAAATATAGTACATGCATGCAGAACCTGATATTCGTATGCAGCATGCATGGTTAAAAAAAGCCTATGAGCAAGATGTGTGTGCAAGCTCGTAAAACACAACAGATATCATACTCTTCGCTATATATTCTAGGTTTACAAATGACAGCGAAGTACACCATTGAAGCCTTTTGACAATGTAAATTATTCAGATGGAATAGTTGAATGCTACTAACTTCATGTTTTCAGCTAGCTGACTCTGGCAAAACCAAGGGAGAACTCTAGGCATGGCCAAACAGGCACAAGCAGGTAATATTAATTAACAGCGACACCACTATATGCAACATGTGGATATCATTTGCGACCCAAAAGGGGCAGTCATTTTGCATTTGGCATCACCATCATTTTTAATTTGTGTGTGTTATATTGACATGCATGAATCCCTATAGCCAAATGGGAAATAATTCATGGGATGCAGGACGCATTCGCTGGCAGACAGATATTCTTCTGCTCTGTTAGAAAGAGGACTCAGCGCGATCTCCGAAGACTGGAGAAAGCTGGAAAGGCTGCTCAGCTAGACAAGGTTATTTTTCTTCTTCTGATAATCTCTATAACTTTTCTATTATACATTGATTACATTCACATGTTCTACATCTTCCTGCTATCAGTCAGAGTGCTGAAAGCGAACTAAAGGAAAGTCTGAGGAAAGGTGTCTACGGTGACATTTATAACTACCCCTTCAATCAGTTTGATACTATTAATATCCTTGACATGGAAAAAGATTATGTGGATCCTGAGATAGAAGAGGAAGAAGTAAGCACAGTACAGAATATGAGACATAAGCCAATGCAGGAAGGTGAGATAGAGTGTGCTGAATGTGCTGATATCGAGATGGATGATATGGAATACTTTGAAGGCTTCGGTGGTGAAGATGGTCAACAACTCAACATTTCCCTTGCTTCTACTGATTTAATTGGGCACGTTATAGAGCGCTCTGACCTGTGAAGATTCTCTTTTTCTGTGTTCTCTCGATAATGTAAAGAAGTTTTACATTTTCTGAATTATGGGGCTTGAAAATGCCATTATGATTTGTTTAATATGTTCATGATGCCGAAATATTAATTTGGACAAAATGGTTATTCGGCGTACTAGTGCGAACTACAAATCTAACCTCCATGAAAATATAAAATGATTGGAGATGAAGATGATGGTTTCGATGAGCCAGTAGCCAAGAAGCCCAAGGGACCATGCTCTGATTTAAGGTCATAGATTGGGCGGAAGTTATCACCTAGTTTCGATGGGCCAGTAGCCAAGATGATGGCTTCGGAGATGAAGATGATGGCTTCAATAAACCACTTGTTTCAGTATGAATATTCTTGATGTCATGATACACTATGTCGCCTAAAAGCATAGATAAAAATCAAACACATCTGATTGGTTGGCACATATTTGGTGTCGAAGTGGGGAATCTGTATTATGCTTCTCTCTTCATCTACATTGTTCTTCACTGGAGAAGTTTCCCCAAAGCATGCATTTGGGGCATAATTAGCTTTTCTTTTCGAAATGCGACTAATGTCTTGCTTTCAGCTAGCTTACTCTGAAACAGCAAAACCAAGGAGAATTCTAGGCATGGCCAAAGAGGCACAAGCAGGTAATATTAACAGCACCAACACTATATGCAACATCTGGATACCATTTACAACCCCAAAGAGACAGTCATTTTGCTTTGGCATTACCCTCATTTAAAATTTGTGTTGTGCTATTGACATGAAACAATCTCTATAGCCGAGTTAGCAATAGTTTTTGGGATGCACGCTGCCTATGTTGACAGCCAGATATTTCCATAAAAAAACCAAACAATCGATATCTCACAAACTATATCTTGAAGATGTTGTTACCTTTAGGACCATTCCAGCATATTACCACATGAGACCAGACAGCCATCCTACATATCTTGCAGCATTTCAGCTCCACCGTATCCATCAGGAATGGCTACGCCCAGAAGCATAAGTCAGGTAATAAATAAAAGCTACGAGAAAAAGACATATGGATAGCAGAGTAGGAGAAGATAATAGTGAGTCAGTTACATAACATAGATGAACCAACAAACATAACTTCTGAAAAACAAATCGTTATTCGGCCCTCACTGTTTTTTATAGATATTTTATAACCCACTTTTGATGCTAACAACAGATAAACAAAATAACATATGTTTAAAAATGCGAGACCATTCCGGAAAACACTAATGTTTAGCTACCTCGTAATGACAGCTTTAGCTCATAAGAAAAACTGCCTAGAATTAATCCAATATATCAAGCATACAAAAATCAAAACATGCCCAAACTAATAAATTCTAGAAACAACAGTGATTTTGGTATTCAACTGTAAATGAATCTGGCCTACTAGAGACAAGAAATCCAATTTATTTTTTTGTGTAGTATACATGTGTACTAGTCACTTGCTGCAGGGGCCGCCTTCAACAGGTGACCAAAAATTTATTATTTCAGAAAGTGTAGACTCAACAAAAGTTATTATTGTGGAGATAACATCAATAGCAAGATCAAAACAGATAGTACTCAGACAGAAAAGTATAACTAGCTTAGACGACAAAGACACCGGTTGAGTTACTCATTTGACATTTGATTTGGTATCTCTGAAGAGCAAGATATAAAAACACAAAACTATTACAAGTTTGTCTAACTAGTAAATTGAAGGAACAATTGCTGAACACTGGGGAAGCACAACAAAGGCATTCCATCAACCATGTATATAGAACATTACTGGATTTGGTTACTACCACAATACAAGGACCAAGGATGAGCATTCACCTGGTCCATAGAAACTTGTGAAAGGATGACAGTTATTGGCATAACGGCTTTGATGAAGCTTCCTGGATTGCATTGACATCACTTGAAGCATGTAGACATTGGTGTCCAAAAATAAAAACATTACACCATTAACCTCATCATACCCCAGTATTTCCACCCCTCTCATCGATCCCTCCACCTGAGGAGGGAGCCCAAGAATAGTATGTATTTCAACAGTCTTCTGCAAGAACCATGTAGCACCACCATGACAACTGACCTTCCTCTGCCACATTTCAAATCTACCATGAGACAATATGGCAAGACCAAGATCACCATCCTCTAACTGGATTATCTGATGTGTGGTGGAATAATTCAGTCCTCGAGGCCCCTTGATCAAAGCAAGACTCTGGCTATCCAAATCAAACTCAATTATGTCGTCCCCGAGCTCATCCAAATCCAAATAATTTGATTCGGCACTCACACTCTTAGATGACCAGTAAAGGACATTACCAACAAGGATCCCAGGATTACAATGAACAAACTCACACCGATCTGTTGTTGAGATCAGATCGCCCCATAGTCCAGTCTCCGAGGAGTATACGCAAGCGATGGGTGGACCATCGTTTTGGGAGCCTTGGCACGGGGCCATCAAGACCAAATTAAAGGGCCTCGAGTGGCAGCTGCCGTGCATATGGCCCTGGTCAGCGGCAGCGGAGAGCACAGCCCCATAGAAGTAGTTTGACATTTCAAACACTAGTAGAACGTCCATGCGGTGATGCTCACTGGTGATTGGGTCTCATACAATGAACCCGTCTGCCAGGAGGAGGACGAGGCCGTGGCGGCAACCGAGCACTTCGGCCTTCCGGAAGCTGCGGATCTGACGCCGTGTGTCGAACCTCTCGGGAGGGATGCGGTTGGGAGGGTCCATGATCGAGGTGAACACGATGTCGTAGCAGTCAGGCTCAAAGAAGCCGAGGAGGGGCGGCTTGCGGTGGTGGGCAGAGAAGCTGCTGAGGAGCCGGGGGTCGGTGGTGACGCGTTGCCAGCGTTTGCAGACGGCGGAGGCGCGCGGGAGGGAGGACGGCTGAGGCGGGAGGCGCAGGAGGATCTCCCGGAGCATATCGTCGTCGTCCGGCAGGGCGGCAGGCGCAGCCGGCGAGGTGCCGCGGCGGCGGCGGCGGCGTGTAATTCCGGAGCCCGCCTCGCTCGAGTGGACTTGGGGGTGGAGCAGCGTGGTGCGGCGGCCGGCGCCCTCCTCGCTCGTGTGGAGTTGGGGATTGAGCCGCGGGCTGCGGCGGTAGGTCACTCCAGAGACCTCCTCACCCACGCAGATTTCGGGGTTGAGCCGCGAGCTGCGTCGGCAGGTCGCTCCGGCGCCCTTGGCACTCACGGGGATCTGAGGGTGGAGCCGCGGGCTGCGGCGGAGGGCTATGCCGGAGCCATCCTCGCTGGTGTGGGTTTGGGAGAGGAGCCGCGGACTGCGGCGGACGGCCATTCCGGCCGGGATCTGGGGATGGAGGCGTGGGCTGCGGCGGCGGGTCATCTCCGCGCCCTGGAGTTGGAATGGAGGCGCCGCCTGGACCTAGCTAGGGTTACACAACACAGTGGTAATTCCGAAAATAAAACGTACTCTCCACCCAACTGACAAGCATACTGGGAAGAAAATTCCTAAGTCCAAAACCAGGTTCGGTCCAAGCAACCAGGTTTGGCATAATTTCGCAACCTTTTGTTTTTAGACGAGACATAATTTTGCATGTTCCTTATAGGGTTATTTGGGTCACTTCAATAACTTGGTGGTCGAGTCAGATTGCATGAGGATTTACACCGTCGGCAATTTATGCGGATTGCAAGGTTCTAGTTATTGGTTATACTTTGGTTTCTTTTGTTCACTGCCTTAGGGAGGCAAATCCTGTCTCCCATGAATTAGTTATGTCTGCGGTCTCGATCTCATCTTCGATGTGGATGGTGGACTATGTAACTGTTTTTTGTTTTTATAAAGTTACTCAAGTTTCAAAAGGAATATGTTAATAGAGTGGCACATAATTTAATCGGGAAACTTGCACAGATATGGTATCTATCGAATGGTCGGGTGGTGGTGATAGCATGTCTAGAACACGCTCGAGCTCCGGTGGTACTTGCCCTCTCCTAACTCCATATCATGGATGCCCCTCCCCCCCCCCCTTCGGCGATGCTTTCGTCTCGTCTCTGTCGTAAGGATAACAACCACCGCCACCGGGATTCACTGTCGCCACGGAAACAACCGACCTAGCATGTAGAGAGAGAGAGAGATGTTTGTTTCAGTTGTGACTCAATATGTTTAACCAGCTGATTGGTCTAGCTAACGTCAATCTCCTCCTAGCTACCATTACTGTCGATCCATGTTAGCATGACAACCATGCCCCACCAGTTAGGAAATGGCATGAACTCCGGGTCAAACCCTCTAGCCCCATAATAGTATTGAAATTCTGAGCTGAAATTCCCATAGGATTTAAGGGTGCTCGAAAAATCTGTGACGCGATTTGCATAGTTGGTCTAGGTTAGTTTCGTAGCTAGGGTTTGGTCGGACGTCATAACTTCTCTGGCGGTGATGACGGCAGCAGCCAATAAGGGGGTAGTTCTCTCCCCGACGTGATGGGTCTCCATGGCAGTGGGCAGCAGATATGGAAGCTATGGTCTGTTGGAAATATGAGCAATTTACCGAATGATTTTATTAACAGAAATAGTAGATAAAACATGACTAAAATAGCAAATATAAAGCAAGTCATGCAATCTGACAGAGAGAAGGTAAACATCGTCTGCATATATGAACTTGAGGTAAACACATCTAGAACAGTCACTAGATGAAGTTGCTTATACGACATAGAACCTAACATACGTAGGACAGAAACTAGAGCCAAGAACTGTAGCAGGACTTCTAACAGAAAGGAGAAGAACACGTACGGCACAACAGCAGCAGAAGCGCTGGACTTGGGGTCGGTGTCCTCGCCTGCCATGTCGTCGAGGAGGTCGTGGATATCGGGGAAGAAGTCGTCGTCGGGGAAGTAGTCATCGGCGACCGGATCGTCCGTGATGAATCAGCCAGTAGTCGCGCAGAGCGCTCCCCAAAAACCTTATCACCCTTCTCCCGTACAGGACTCAAAGAGTGCGGTTTCGGAGGCCTACTGTCCCGACCTGCGGTGCACGCCGCAAGCCGGGATGGAGAAGATCGTAGCAGCAGTGCAGTGCTCAGGAACCGGTGGTGAGAGGAAGAAGTAGTTCTGGTGCGTCTTGCTGAGAGGAACGACCTCCCTTTTATAGGCACAAGAGAAGGAGGCGAGAGGGCAGTGCCGGGAGGTGAAGGGACCGAGGGAGATGAAACGAACAGACAGCAGCCAAAGGGTGCAACGTTCGCATTTAATCTCCACTACAGCAAAACCTTCCATCTCCCGAGTGACTTTTCGTATACCCGTAGTGCGTGGCAAAAATTTAGACATCAGCTCGGCTCATTCCCGCAACCCGCGGCGCGTCGTGACGAGGCGTGGTGAGGCGGGCGGCAGAGGAGGAGCGCGCGTGGATGTCCCTCTTGTTCTCATGCTCATACAAGTGGGAAAAGAACCCCCCTTATAAGGATGTCCAACTCCCACTAAACTAGCAATGTGGGACTAAACTTTTAGTAATATCCCTTGCCTTGCACAAATGGGCTAAGTAGGCCTCTAGGATTTATTAGGAATTTCTGAAATAGTTATTGGGCTGCCCAAAATAGACTAAATTCCAGCAATCCCCCACCAGATCCCAGAGGCACACAGAAATTTGCCTTTGGTTCCAAAACACTGTTTTATATACCGGTACTACAGTGGAGACTGTTAAGTTGAACTTCCACCTAGAACTCTATGCTACACTAGTAAGCAACTTGAACAGTGGACTGGGCCTTGAACTGCAAGTTTTGTGTGAATCTAGCTTCACATAAAGCCTTGACCGATACGTGGCTACCGTGGGTCTTCCCCGCGGGTGGAGCTTATGCGTCATACTCCATGACCTTTCATGAGTTTACTAGAGAGAACCCTACTCTCATAGATTGCGACGTTTGACAATCAGACTCATATAGGTGTATTCTTCAAAAGATGTTCTGCAGGATAACATCTCTGCTTAAATAAGCCACTTAGAACACATTAAGATATACATCAACCTGTCATGCAGATTAGGAGAGTATTGCATCTTCATGGAGTGGTATTGAGAATAGTAGGGATACTCTCCTCTCAGTTGACCAACAGCTTGTCTTCCACATCTAATTCACGGGATCCCCGATCACAAAGAATAGGTTACCACTGTGAACAACTCATATTGTGGGTCTCATACCCGTCTCCCTCGATGCATTATCTATCACATTACGCGATAGACCCTTAGTAAAAGGATCTGCCAGATTTTTTTACGTTTGGATATAATCCAACGCAATAACTCCGGAGTTTTTCATTTTCCTGACAGACTTTAACCTTCTCTGAACATGTCTTGATGACTTCATGTTATCCTTTGAGCTGCTCACTTTCGTGATCACAGTTTGATTGTCGCAGTTCATAAGGACACCCGGTACAGGTTTCTCAACAACCGGCAAGTCACTCAAGAGCCGGTGAAGCCAATCTGCTTCGACCATAGCTGTATCTAGTGCTGTGAGTTCTGCTTCCATTGTTGACCTCGTTAAGATGGTCTGCTTGCAAGACTTCCAAGAAACAGCGCCACCTCCATGAGTGAATACATAACCGCTCGTGGCCTTTATCTCATCAGCATCTGAGATCCAGTTTGAGTCACTATACCCTTCAAGCACCTTTGGATGCCCAGTGTAGTGAATTCCATATTTTGCAGTGCCTTTCAAATAACGCAAAACTCTCTCTAGAGCTTTCCAATGCACATCTCCTGGTTTTGAGACAAACCGACTCAGTTTGCTACCAGCAAAAGAGATGTCAGGTCTTGTAGCACTAGCTAAGTACATAAGCGAGCCAATAATCTGTGAATATTTCAATTGGTCCCTAGCAATTCTTCGATTCTTTCGAAGCAGCACGCTAGCATCATATGGTGTTGGAGAGGGCTTGCAGTCACTATAGCCAAAGCGACTCAAGATCTTTTCCACATAGTGAGATTGAAGCAATGTAATCCCACCATCATCATCTCTCAACAACTTGATGTTCAGAATGACATCAGCCACTCCTAAATCCTTCATCTCAAAGCAGTGAGATAGAAAATCCTTGACCTCCTTAATAACATTCAGATTTGTTCCGAAAATCAGTATGTCATCAACATACAAGCAAAGCATAACTCCCTCGCCCCCACCATGGCGATAGTACACACATTTGTTAGCTTCGTTCACAACAAAGCCTGCAGCTGTTAAAGTTCTTTTGAACTTCTCATGCCACTGTTTGGGTGCTTGCTTGAGTCCATACAAAGACTTCAGCAACTTGCACACTTTCCCTTCCTGACCATATATTACAAACCCATCTGGTTGTTCCATATAAATTTCCTCATCCAACTCTCCATTTAGGAAAGCTGTCTTAACATCCATTTGATGAACGAGAAGACCATGTGAGGCAGCTAGTGAAAGTAGAACTCGAATAGTGGTCAGTCGAGCCACAGGTGAGTAAGTATCAAAGAAATCTTCACCTTCCTTTTGGGTATAGCCCTTAGCCATGAGCCGAGCCTTGTACTTTTCAATAGTACCATCAGGCCTAAGCTTCTTCTTGAATACCCATTTGCATCCTATAGGTTTGCACCCATAAGGACGATCAGTTATCTCCCAAGTTT